ACGAGTTCTGCTTCAACGCTCAGCTTTGAGTCAAGTTTGAGCCGAACGTTGACGCAATCGTCGTGTCCAATCTTTGCCCAGCGTTGGCCTTCGCTGATAACAACATCTCTATCAGCATTATACGTCTTTGTTATTTAGGAGGTGCGGTCTGTACCCCAGCGTTGGCAGGTAATGGTGGCCGAGATGCCAAGGAATGTCACATGTCTTGGCTCCGCCTATGTTCATCCTTTCGAGCACGCACAACACACACCCACAAAATTGCGTTGCAGACGTTTTCACGTTGTGGCGACTAGGCACTCTGGCACTTGAAGTCGGGAAGCTGGGTCGAGGAGGCGGCGACAATGGGTTCGCTGTCGGCCCGTCGATTCTGACGGCTCCCTCCAGCAGGCGGCGTCGTGGCTCCCGAAAGAGTTTCGCCGGGTAATCCGCGTGTAGCGGCAGAGGACAATCTGAACTGTAATCTCCTGCCTGAGGAAAGGTCGACCTTCACGGAAGTTCACACCGAAGCCCCTTCCTCTTTCGGCGAAGGCGAACTTGTCCCTTTCCTTGCAACTGAGGTCTGACCCCAGCAGTAGGCGCCGTCTTTCTAAATCTTTACCAGGTAATCCGCTGTCGTGGCCTCAGCTCACCCTTCTTTAATTAGGCGGCACTCGGCGACCATACTGGGCAGGTGGGTTGGTGCGTCGATGGACAGTCACGCCGGGCCATACGCAACCAGGAGGCGTTTCAACGATAATTGAGCCAACAATTGTTGGCATCTCCCAACTGTCATTGAGCTAAACTAAGCTATCCGGTGTTACACGGTATATTAGACTAACCCCAACTGTAAATCCCAGTTGAGGTAGAAACAAAAATATTTGAAGTCAACTTCAACTTCAAATTCAACTTTATTGTATCTCTCCAGGGGAGAGGGGGAGGAAAAAAAATCAAACTGTTGTCGCTTGACATAGTTTCTCCTCCCCACCAGCAACGGGAGAAACTATTTTACATACTAGTGACCCGTAGAACAAGGTTTACTTAGGAGCAAAGTACACAATTAACGTTAAACTGAAAAGAAATATCTGACATAAATCACGAACATTTCTTGCAGGACACACAACGCTAGAGAAACAATGAACGAATATCCTTTCTGCGCAAACTCATCAAATCTGTGCCGAATCTATATGTTTTGTTTATAACATTAGGCAACGAGTACTGCAATATCTGGAGGCCGTAGCCTGTTCTCGAGCGAGGCGTTGACCATGTCTCAACATAACGGCCTGCATATGCATGCACCCTATGCTTCATATTGGCGATAGATAAAAAAAAAACAAGTTGTTTTTGCCTTACAGATGTTTGATATGTTAGAATAAGTTTATAATTATAATGCTCTGTAATTGGAACTATATGAAGCATTTTGAAAATTGTAATCTGTGACCGTTTAACTCCGCATTTCACATAATTCGAATTATTCTCGTCTGGAGAACATGCAAGTGATGCATATTTTTAACCGTTGTGCTACCCTAAGCAAGTAAGCAGTAATTATAGCAAGAGTAAAAGAGGGAGTTGTAAAGAAGGATTAAGACCGAAATGCGCTCTATATTACGGGATTTATAGATAATGCCCACAAATTTTGAAAGTCTGCCAGCTATTCATTTTACTTCGGCGCCCCAGCTCATGTACTCATCAAATATCACACCAAGAACCTTCACATTTTGTACAAAGTCAATATTTCGCCCTAGGAGAGAGAGCCCTTGAGTCGGTAAAAGTACTGTATTTTTGGATAAAAAGTATTGCTTTCGTCTTATTTGTATTAATTACTAAAGAGTTTGAGATTGCCAAGTCACTTATCTTCTGCAAAACGCTTTTTTCCGCACATAAAGCCTGGTGGACAACTTTCCCCCCCAAAAATAAACTTGTGTCGTCTGCGTAAATTATAAAATCTGCACTGTCGACCATATTTACTATATCATTTATGTACAGGTTAAACAGACGGAGTCCAAGAACGCTCTCCTGCGGCACCCCTGACGTCAGGGTTTTTAAGCTAGAGCGCTGAGTATCAATCACGACACACTGATGCCGATATTTAAAAAAAACCTCTTGATCATCTTTGAGGCTACTCCTCGCACCCCGTATGCATTTAATTTTTGAAGCACAGTTTGATGATTTAGACGGTCGAAAGCCTTTGAAAAATCAATGAAGAACCCCATGGTAATCGATTTCCTTTCGATGTTGTTTAATAATAATAATAATACCAATTTTTATTTTTATGTGCCCAAAAGCAACTCGGAGGTGTTCACTCTGGCGCACAAGTCAATGTTAAAATCGATCAGAAACAAAGTAACACAATAAAAGCAAAAAAACGCGCAGACCAAAGGTGTGTTGGAAGAGCTTCCGATTTCTTGCGAAAAACATATATACCACTGAATCTATCAATACTTGTATCATTAAGGCGATTTTAAAACGATTGTATACGTGACAGAGGCGAGGATCTGCACATGGTATTGACGTAAAGAGCAGTATGCTTCCTAGTTAACCGAGAAGGGGCATGAATGTTAATTGTGGATTAAAGCAAATCCCTATCTATCATCGCATTTACTACCTTGTGTATAAAAGTTAAGCCACGCTTGGCCCTTCTTTCGGACAATGGACGCAGAAAAATATTATCAACGAGAAAGTAATAATCATAATAAAAGCGATGTTAAAGACAGCAGTCATAAACAATACGTACGAAACGCTTTTGCAGTTTCAATTTTCGCTGACTGCGTTCCAGATATTGATTTCCATGCTACAGATGCGAATTCAAGCCGTGATCTTACTAGGGAGCGAAAGAAACGAATAATAGAGGCTGGGTTTTTAAACTGATGCGTGATGCGATATATCAGTCCCATCATCTTAGTTGCTCTGCCAACAATAGATGACACGTGTGGAATGAACGTCAATGCATTGTCTATACACACGCCAAGGTCTGTTACAGAAGATACACGTTCGATAGGAATCCCTTCTAATAGATAACTATTGTATACTACATTATAACATTTGTACAAAGTTAATACCTTTGTTTTTAGAGGATTCAGTGACAAGTCCTTCAATTCGCACCACTGAACTATTCGCGACGCGTCATGCTGTAAAGTATCGCAGTCTGCAGGAGTACGAACATTCATAAAAATCTTAATGTCATTTGGAAACAACAACACCTCAGCAATTTTTAAGTTAGACGATAGATCGATTACAAAAAATGAGAAACAAAAGGGGACCAAGAATAGACCCTTGGGGAACATCGGAATTGGAAAAGAAAGTTTTTGAGCGACTGTTATCTATGGGAACGCTGTTGGGACGACATGATAGGTAGCTTTGGAACTATATACACACCTGTGCGCAACAACCTAATAAAGGCAATTTACGTAATAACAACTGATGGTTCACTTTATCAAATGCTTTTGACACATCAAAAAAGATACAATCAATTTGCCCTCTGTTCATAACAACAGGGACAGAATAGTTTTAAAATGAGGACAGGCTAGTTTCAACCGACCGTCCAGTCAGAAAACCAGGCTGGCAAGCATCAAATTTCCGCTGGAAGTAAAACAAAAAAATTCGTTTGTGTATAACCATAGCCTCCTCTATACGGAGAAAGCCTGGCACATCGACGACGGAGCCATAGGGCGCGCGGCCGCAGGAAAAAGGAGAGGAGGAGCGCGCCGAACGGTGACCAATATGGTAGCGCAGAGCAGAAAGGGCAGACCTAGACAGCGAGCGCTTGGGTCGTGAGCGGCCGCTCCCCGAACCACGCTTGTTTTTCTGCTTTCGTCACCGTCGTTTTTGTACTCCGGGAGAAACGGGCGCGGCGATTCGAAAGGGCGCAGGGAGAAACGGGAAAGGGTGGACGTTGAGTTTCTCCTCTCCACGATAGCGACAAGAAAAGAGAGAGAGAGAAAAAAAAGATTGTTTCTGCGTTTGGCCGCTCGCTCTTTTGTGGCGCTAGCGGACAAGGTTCTCTCCGCTCCCGTTTCTCCGCCCCTCTTTTCCCATTTACGGCGGCCGTCTTTTCACGCGACGCGCCAGGCTTTCTCCGTATAGAGGAGGCTATGGTATAACGCGCTCGAACACCTTGGAAAATGCCGACAATAAAGATATCGGCCGATAGTTACTAGAAATAGATCGATCACCACCTTGGAAAATTGGTACAACAACCGCAGATTTCCATAACCAGAACAAAGAGAAAGGTTACAAATGTGCCCTGAGATGGGTATGAACAGTTCACCACACCCCTTGATGACAAAGGATGGGATAGAGTCGGCTCTTGAAGATAACTTTGGTTTTAGAATTTTTATGGCTTCAGCGATTTCTTCCAGGTCTACTCAGAGCCTTTTATAGTGGGAGAGTTCGGCGGATGGGAGGGGCTTACGGCCCGCTAGGTTTAGCGGATTCAACGGGTTCCGCTCCCGCCATGATGTGCCTCCCGGCAAGTGGGTTCCCATTGACGTGCGATGTATACGCGTGTAGGTTTTGCCATTCGCGCTTTTGTTGCCGTTTACGAACGGCACTCATTAGAGAGTTTTAGTATATCGTTCCCATGACTCCGATAACGATACCCGATACTCCTCCACCGCCTCCCTTGTTCATGCATAGCATCGTTATCGGGGCTATCGGAGGTATCGGAACGATCTACTAAAACTCTCTATTTATAATGGGGAATTGCTCAAAGACGACCGCCGTCCGACACGGCTCAGCGGTCTTGTGCGCATTTTTCAGTGGGTAAGTTCGATTGTCTGGATCGCTCCCCGATTGTTTACTACATCACAAGGTTTGTTCCCCATTGTGCGGAATACGGCGGACCGATCATGATTTTCCGCCGTGCTTCTTCACCTGTCTGTCTTTTTTTCTTTTTTTTTTCTGACATTTTTTTGGTTTGCTGTGAAGAAGCAGCGTCGGCGTCGCGTTGTGCTTGAGCTTATTGAAATTGACAACCGCTTTCGAATTCACTGTCTGCGAAGTGCACCTTAAAAAAAGAAAAGGACATGACAAGTAAGTATTTAATACGCGTATTAAAAAAAAATATTAAAGGTATCGCTAGCGAAACGAAAGCGCTTGCGAGACGGCGAAGCGGAGCTAAGAGGCCGCTACTAAAGACTCGAGCGTATACGAGAAAGCTGCGAGAGCGAGCTGCATGCTTCGACAGAGCCGTACTAGACGCAGAGCCGTACTAGACGCTGCCACGTCAAGTCGCTGCACAGTTTTAGCCAAAATAAAACGCGTTTAACTCACAAAATAAATTAGTTATAATATTACCCTGCACCATCGAGAACTCGAAGTCGGCTTCCACTTAACCCTCTTTGTTTTGGCCTCCCGGATCTTTGCCTTGCACGGTTTTCCTTTCCTTGCGGGAACCGGTACATCCTGAACCCTTTTTTCGCGCTGTTCGAGCACCCAAAGGCACTACAGCACCCCACTGCGTTTTCTTCTAACGTCTCGCGGAGCGCAGAACGATCATTTTCACCGTCGTCTCTCGTTCCACCCTGGTCAGACGGCTGCCGGCTCGAGACGACAAGGCACATCATTGCGGACGACGAGACTCGGAATGCGATGCGCACAGTTGCCAGACTGTTCAATCAGTGCTGCCAGACTGGCGGCTGGATCACTAGACCGCCGAACTCTCCCAGTATAAAAGGCTCTGGGTCTACCCTAATACAAGACAAAAAGTCATGGCAGTCAATCTTAATATTCATGGACCGGACAACTTATTGCCCGGTACAACAGCAGTTGCTAAAGTAATCGGCAAAACTATTTGCAACCCCACTAGGGAAGGAAACATAGCTGTCGTTATCTGACTGGTAGCGTAGGCAAATCCCCTGGTTGGTATCACGTGTGTGCTGTTTTGCGAACCACCAAAAATCTTTTGGGCACCGGTTCAAGCTGCGTTCTACTCGGTCAAGGTACATAGGCTTATCTCTAGAGTACAACTTTTTAGTTAGAGCCCGATATATGCTAAACTGGGCGTAGAATAAATCCGATCCAGTTCGTTTAAAAAGCCTATGAAAATGTTATTTTTTTACGCAGATAGGCTTTCAAATCCTCAGAAAACCAATCAGGATAAACTGAAGGCTTGGGAATGCGCTGTGGCACAAACATATCAATAACGTACTTAACAATGGAAGAAAAAGTCTCGGACGCCAACTTAGTATCAGTCATGGCAAGAACCGCGCTCCAGTCAAAGTTTTGGAAGTATTTATACATGCTGAAATAGTGCCTTGACTTAACGAAAGGTTGAGTGACCACGATATACTGGCTTTTTGCGTGGAAGGCGGAATACAACTACGAGCGGTGGGTGAAACATCTATTTGCACTAAGGGGCTTTTAACAGGGGTCACATATTCAACTGAGATGTTGGATAGAACGAGGTCAAGGACATTTACAGCGCTATCGATTGTGTTCAGTTGATCGAGGCCACAGTAGTCCATGAACGAAAATAGACAAAATATCTCATTTGTCGTTATACGGTTCCTGCCATTAACATACCCCAGGAAGAGTAAAATCTTCATAAACCTGTACTCTGTACTTCGCAAAATCTATTTGGTCACTAATCTTACTAAAATTTTTTACAAAAAAGACTTGGTCATAAAGTGGCGGAAAATAATAGTTACCGACTAGGTAGTTAAACTCGTCGCCTGGTTTTATCTCTAGCCAAACACACCCGGAATATAATGCTAGATTGGGGCGACGGTGCGACGAAAGAGATGACTCACAGGCAATTAAAACGCCACCGCCATACTTTTGTCCAGAGGTCTGGTAATCTCTGTCTCGGCGATACACCTTGTAGCTAGGTGTAAAGTAGTGCGAGTCCGGTATCCCATCACTGAGCCAAGTTTCCGCGAGGCAAAAAACATTATACTTAGTTGTAGCTAGGTTCGGCATAAACTTGTCAGCCTTCGTTTGTAGGCCCCTCGCGTTTTGGTAGAAGACACTAAGCATTGCTGCCATTTTCGGGTGTTATTGTCTCCTCGTTTTGAACACGTATACTATCAAGGCGATCGAAAAACTGGTAAAAAATACTGCCCTCCGGCCAAATATCAGGTACGTTTAGCACTGCAAACGCTGCTTCGTCACAAGCCAAGTAGAACAACGAGTACGAAGGAAATCTAGTTATCATCTTCGAACAGACAACTCTCTTTCCTTCCAAGAAAGGTTCAACGAGGTCCGCAATGTCCGACGCAGATGTGTTTGGGTCGAGCCTAGACACAACCAAAGCAAAGCGGCGTACGGTCAGAAAAACAGCATTCACCTTGTTCGGTTTTGCAATGCCAGACGATGGCTTGGCTCGTTGCCGGCGCTTGACTGGAATGAAACCGCCGTCCCCCCTGCTCGCCGAATTCGAGCCGTTGCAACCGCGTAATTCAGAACTCAGCGGCTGGAAATCATTCTCGTCAGCACACACTGTGTCCGGACTTGATGACGAACGGCCGGGCTAGTTCTCATGAGCAACCGTCGAAGAGGGTCGAGGCTGCACAATCAGCGGGAAGCCCAGGTGTGTGGGAAGCCGGGGTCCCTGCGGCGGTACTTGCTTAACGCGGCTGCGACGAGGATAGGAGTGGCATTCTGTCCAGGACGGTCTTGCGAAGATGCAGTACCTCGGATTGGAGACCTCGGTTTTCCACTCTGGGGCACTTGAATTCCGCCGTCAGAATTTCCAGCTTGTTCGACAAGTTTACGATGAGTCTCACAACGCCCGCGTGAATGAGCGGGCTTTCTTGCGCTGCGGCTGACTCACCCTACGGGTCGATGAAATCGTCATTGGCGGTCGAGGCTTTATCGCCAGTGATTTTGGAGATAGGCTATGTCGCCGAGTGCAGCCAGAACACTTGAACGTGCTTGTTCCCTTTTCTATGTACACGTTGTACTCATCGAGACCGACGTTGAGGCACGTACAGTGGAATTTACGTCCGCAGCCGGCTGAACAAACAAGATATTGTTGCTTCGAGTAGAAGCGCGCTGCACACGAACCACACGCATTTTTCAGCGGACCACTGCAAGACACGCCATTCTTCGCCAGTGCCATCGCATCGTTAAAATTAGTTCCTTCTGTTTTAATAGCTCGAGTTCCGTCGAATGCCCCTTCCTAATACGAAACTGGCAAGATATTACGGTAGATTGTTTTTCGCAGAAGGTGTACAATTTGGCATGCATTATTTTCTCTAGACCCCTTGAAAACTCTGGGAGTACAGAAACAGGTCTACAATTCACTAGGTGGTTCTTATCCCCATAGTGGAAAATAACCGTAACATTTGCGACTTGCATTTTTTTTTAGGAAAGTGGCCATTTTGAAGCGCCAAATTAAAAATATGTGTTAAGATGTAAGCAATCGATTTAATTACATGTTTAAGAGGACTGATTTAAACACCATCTATGTCAGTATTTTTGCTATTTCCAAGGTTCATAAGAACTGATACCACATCCTCCGCGTCAATGGGGCAAGCAAAAGTGTGTCAGAAACACATTCCATAAATGGAAATTCATCGGCAGTGTTACCACTCTTTACAATGTTTACGAAATAGTCAATAAGTATTTCAGCTAACATTTCCTCTTTCTAAAAAGTGATGAAAATCAATTATATGCGCACTTTTCTTTCACAATCTACGTTTAACACCAACTATGTTGAACAGCTTATTAATCTTTAGAGTAAAGAAATGGTAATCAGAAGGTTTCACACAAATTCAAGACATAAGGAGAGACTTATCGGCGCCGGCATCACAATGGCCGCGCTCGCCGCGCATGGGCTTCGGCGAAGTGCCGTGGTGTTTTAGCGGCAGCACTGGCCCGGAATCATAGCTCTTGCTACAACAATTGCTCCTACGATGCTTTCTAGATACCTCCGCAATCTTCCGCAATAGTATGTTTTTTGTTGGCGCTGGGGGGCCGTCAGCGGAATTGCTGTGGGGGCCGCCATCTTTATCTTGACAGGGACGAAGCTTCGATCATCAGATAACTGAGGTAGGCCAGCTCAATAAACGCAATGATCGTTAGCGCCTTGATGGCAGTTCGAGCTGCCGTGTAACACCGCTAGATCGCGTTATAGTCAATAGTCGTAGGCTCAGTGATCGTTTGAACGGTCCGCGTAACATGGATATATACAGGGGTATTGTACGGGACGTTTCAACGTTTATTGAACCAACAACTATTCACTCGATCGCAATCGAGCGGTGTTATACGGAAGCGTCGACCGCCATCAAGCCCACAACAATAATTAGGTTCAACTAACGCTGAGTTCAACAAAGCTGGTCTACTCCAGTTAACTGATAGGCATTCGCCCCAGTAATGCTAAAATGCAGGAGTCCGCCCCGCCGATGGCCAGCGTCAGCGTAGCACTTACTATTGCGAAAGATTGGGGGAGGTATATCTAAGAAGTACCGTAGCAGCAAATATTCTCAAAAGAAGTATGATTTGGGGCCAGAGCTGCCACTCAAACGATTACGGCACGTCGCTGAAGCCCATGCTCGGTGGCGAAGGCGGCCATTGTAAAACCTGTGCAGATAAGATACGCGTTCTGTTGCTTGAATTCTTGTGAAACGTTCTGGTTACAGTTTATTTACTCTAAACACAAGGAGAAAAGTTTCCTCTATTTTGCGGTAAACATTTATACTTGTAGTAAATTGTGCAGATAATACATTTTCATCACTTTTTAAACTCGAATGGGGACATGTGTTTTGGTTTCGCTCCTTTTTTTCATCTGAGGTCGAAATTGGGTTTGTTTCGCTTATGTTTTGTTTAACACCAGACCACATACTTTTGCTAAATGATAGTTTAGAAATGCCTTTGACCCTTACCTGAATGATCGTTGAAACGGTCCGTGTAGCAGGGGTATAACAGGGGTTTTAGGCTATCATAAAAAATATTCTACTTCCTGAGCCTGATTATTTTGCACGAACATAAAAGACATTGCTAAGATGTATTTGCTATGTTTACGTGGAATTTTTTTTTTAAAGGCGCTTAAACGCGAGTACTTATTTAAGGTATACTTACACTGGTGTTAA